AATGCAGATCTGCAGCCTTGACATTTATAAAGTTGTGGCCAGGGCTGTAAAATACAAATTCACAGTCACATCACTTTTCAGTAGGCCATGCATATAGTTTGAAATAGACTCCATATTTTCCATGTGAAAAAAAATTGTTGCCGGATTCTTGGTGTGTAATTGACTGGATGTAAAAGTTCTGAGTTTAGTTTGCAAATTAGTAATTGATTAAGTGGATGGCCCCGTAGAGAATTTCATAGATTACTGCCCAGTTTTGCAGACAAAGTAGGTAAGTGTGCTCAGGAGAAGTGCCTGTCATGTTTAGCTGGCAAGTTAGGTTATCTTCACCTTGTGGAAAGCAAAACATTTATTTCATCTTACAGTTTTACTGTCTGTGCAGAAAAGACAGTCTAGAAAAAGGAGTTTGTGACCTAATTTATAATAAAGATTCCTTTCTTATTCTATCTAGCTTAGAGAAATAGACAGTGGAATAGTCGAATAAACTGAACAAAGTGAGTGAATAACCTGGTGAAGATAGTTCAGAAATGAGGTATCTTTTTTTTGTTTTGTTTTTTTTTTTTTTTTGTTTTTGTTTTTTTTGCGTAATAATATATATGATTTAATAAATAAGTCTGAGTTTGGTATACAATCATCCTGTTACTTTCTGCCTGTTTTATACTTATGTTCTTTCCCTTTAGCRTTTATTAGAACAGCTTCCCTTTCTGCAGAAGGGCTATGTTATTTATAAATTGCCATTTTATTTGCAATATACCATATATGAATTGGGCCATAGATGGTAGTTACATGGCTTGAGAATAGAACCCTTAATTTTCACGTGTTTTATAAACAATTGGCAATAAATGGCCTCATTCTGTGTCCTTTGACTTTAGTGGGAGTTTTCTGACAAATGTATTTATGCCAGAAGAAGCTGGCTGCCAGTGCAGCGGAGCGGGCAGTGCGCCTTTGCATTCGGCACAGTTGTGTGTCCCCGTGCCAAGAATGAATTTTGCCGATTCAGATTTGCTCAGTTTGTCAACACACAGGTCCCATTGAAGTTCGCAGGACGAGAATCATTCTTGGCACGGGGCCGCGGGCAGCCCAGGGAGCGGGGCCGGCAGCAGAGGGGAGCAGCGCCCAGCCTTGGCTTCCCACTGCCCGAGCCTCCCGTCTCCTGGAGCATGTGTTTGCTGTTCTTGGAGTAGTGGGGAGAGTCAGTGATAAAAAGAGATTTCCTAGGTTAGTTTTCAAGGCGCTTTTTTGTGTGTGTGGCTGTCTGGATGATTAATGTGAATAGGAAAATACTGTTGACCCATTTAAATCATGTTAGACAACATCCATTGCTCATCTACATAATGAAATACACACTGAACATTACARCCTAAGTATAAGAGCCAGTGAACTACAAAAATAATATTTTACTCATTTAGATTATGAAGTAAAATATAGGACATTAATACTAATGATACTATTAAATTTTAAGCCATGCAAATTGCAATTGTCAGTGAAAAAGAACTATAAGTTGAAAAGGCTATTAGCATTTCAGCTTTAACAGTTAATTTGAGTAATTTCTTTTTTCTGCTAGTGTGCAGCTTAAAAAAGTCTATATGCAAAACATTTAATAGTAAGTGCAGAAGTGTTTGTTTTATATTGTTATTTAATTTCAGTGATTAAAGAAATGTTAGAAATTAATTTTTAATATTAAAATATATTACCATTTTATTTTTCTGAGAGTAAACTGTAATTTTTAGTTGGGTACAATCAAATGTAAAAGGCAAATTATTAGTAACCAAGAGATGAAATAATTTTAAGCATTTATTTAAGTACCAAAGCAAAAACTGAAGCCTTTAAAAATATTGATTTTATCAAATTGAAACAGAATTGTCAGAATTTTAAGCTWTATACAAATTTTAGAGTACTGAATTTAGGCTGACAGGTTTCTATGGTTACCTACCTTTCCAACAGTTTGGTGAGATGTGTAAATCGGCCTGTGAGTCACTAGTAATTATCTGGGTTTTGTTTGTTATAGTTGTAATTCTGTGTTCAGTTCGAATCTAATACAGTTCWTACCACATGCTTTGGTTTATGTATATTTTAGTGTGTATGATTGACAGTGATTGAGCATTTCATATGGAGTGCTTGGTTTTTTTGTCATAAGTGATGTATGTTGCTCCTTCTGAAAATGTAAACAACTTCTTCCTGCATCACTGTTTGATAAACAGGGATTTTTATGCTAAAAAGAGGTCTTCGTAAATGTTAAGCAAGGAGATAAGTGAAAGGTGTTTTTAAAAAACATTTAAAATATTTCCCAAACATAATACTGTACTCTTCCAAATTTGATCCATAATTCTATCATTATAATTCATTTGGTGACCCAAATGTCACATATTTATGAATAAGATTCCAAGKTAAGCATTAATAGCACATAGTAATGACTGACAGGTTTAAAAATAAATGTTTTAATCAGGATGCTACAAGTTATCTGCAACAAGCTCTTGATTAGAGCATCTTCCTTGTGCAGAGCATTTTCTTGAAATAAAAATAAGAGCTTATTCTACCACCACCACAGCAGTTTAGCAAAAAAAAGCTATAAACTCTTAGACCTCTCTGCTCATATATTTTGAAATCTTTCAAATTTTGGGTAATTCCCCAACCTTAGACTCATCACACTAGCAAATGGCATATATGTGTTTCCTCAGTAAAGGTTTACTGCCCTAGCATCAYTTGTTTTTGTGTGAAAACAGGACAATACAAGTACTTAACAACTTTTAACACAAGAAGGCAGGAAACATTGCTAGCTGTCAATTTTATCAAATGAGTAGAAATATAATCTTATTTTATTAAGATATTCATCCCAAAGTTGCTAGCCACATGCACTTTCTTCCTTAATTTTGAGATAAGTCTGACCTATAATTCAGAAATCATCTTGTGTCCTTAGAGATTTAGCTGCAGGTGTACCGAAAATATTTATTGCAGGAAAAAGACTGACTGTCTATTCTCTTCCCATGTGTCAAGCCACACAAAACATCCTGATGCAATGTTCAGGAGCATTCCTAAATTTCCTACGAGCAGTGTTGCTTGCCTACTGTAGAGGGTTTCTATGCAAAGTTTATCTTACGGTGTTCCAAATGTATTTTTTCCATTTCAGGTGGGAATTTAAGAGGTTAGAGTAGGTTTTTTTTTTAACATTTAATATTGCATCAGGCATGTGTAAAGGACATAAAAATGCCAGTTGAAAAACAGTTGTTTCACAGAACACCTGAAAAGATTTTAACCCAGTAGGATTCAGTGAATGTTAGAGCTGTGGGTGGGTGCCTGTAAACAACAATATTTGGTATTGTGCTCTGTGTGAGGACTATTTGAATAGCTTATTTTTTTAATCTCAAACAATTGCTATTTTTTAAACTAACTAGTTCCAATAGTTGTTACTTCACTGCAAACTCAAAATAAAAATAAAATAACAAATCTTTCAAGCAAAAGTAGTTTCTCTGATCTTTAAAAAAAATCTAAAGATAGCTAGAAAGTGCTCGGAAAATGTATTTGAATATGAAAAGCTGAACAGATATGTTTCTCATTCTAATTTATTCACTTTATGATAAATTAATTTACTCAATATAGGAATGCAGTAACATAAGAGGAATGTTTTTCCTGCTAGTCATAGAAGTTGAAACTTGCCAGATGCTGTGATCTGGAGCCTAAATTCCCTTGATAGTAACTGTGATTGAAACCCTTAATATTGCTTTGTCCAGCTTTTGTGCTGGACTTGTCTCATTTTGCTGTGATATTGCTTTAGACAACACTGTCTTTTTATTTTCCTTTTGTGTTTTTCTATCAGAGAGAGAAAATGTAGTAGAACTAACACTAGGATGGAAGGCTCTRTTGGAGAACTGCAATGCCCTGTTCCCAAAGTTAAGTCTGTACAGCCTGATCCCARTTTCTGGAGTGGACAATTCATTTCCTTTGGTATATTAATGAATATAATCCAGCTRTAGTTTTTAAAATCCTATAATAAAAGGGGAAAGTGTTCAGCATTTTACTCGATTTATTTCTTATACTGCTTTGGTGTGACTCTGTGTGTGTATAGATATACAGAACTGCTCAACTGGTCAAAAGAGGTTTTAAGGATATAATACTAATTTTTTCTTCTTGTTTGTTAAAGTTGCACTGTCAGTTGATAAAAGGTGGCACTGAGCCAGCTTCCTGAAGGGGCTATGGGGAGGGTCATGGCTTGTCATGACCTGGGCACCRGTACTTGAATGTTGTTATTATTGGGATGAAGTACCCTTAGGCTGTCATCCTTCCTGTAAATAGAAGGGGTTCTGATTCTCTGTGGTTTCCCAGTTTACCAACTTGTAGAACAGCTACTTTGTTGGCCCTAAATTTGACAGAATAATGAATTAGAAGCMCAGCACTACTCCAGAAGGCACTGATTCATTATTTCAGTCTGTTGATCTAGACTAAATCACAGTAAGTAAAGCCAAACAAGAATGTGTTTCCATATAGTTTATAAATTTACAAGCTCATTTGTATTGGCATATAGCCAACAAATTGCCCTGTTCCAGTCTGCATGAAGTAAGGACAGAATTGTAACTAGCAAGGAGCATAACTGAGGGACAAAACTGACTTTTTTCAGTGACATGGAGGGGAGTCATGGTTATGTTTGCRGAGGGGCTGACTCTTCTCCCTCGGATCTGGTTGCTGTTTGACCATTGTATTGCTTTATTGCCTCTTAGGGCAGTAACGAGAAGTTCTGTTACTGTCTTCATTAACTAAACAAATTCTGTTGTTCATTTTGGGGAAAGTAAAATAATTAAATAAAACAATCCCAGTTAGAATATAACGTTTGCATGATACTGGCCTGTGTTTCAGTTTGTCAGGGTAGGGTCCTAAGCATGCTGTTGTTGAGGTTTTCACCGATGTGTTGCTGTTGTAACTGAAGTCACATCTGTCCTGATGAATATTTCATTTCCCCAATCATGCTATTAAAAACAGAGTGTTTTTACCCTTTCATTTCTGTTTTCTCTTTTCCAGTACCATCGTGACAGCTGTGGCTGCGTCCTGTTTACAAATTGCTGCTAGTCACATTTTCAGTAGTCCTTATGSGTTTTTCTTTCCCCTAATACATCCAATTAGGAGGAAATATTTCTCACGAGCACGGAGTTGCTCTTCTCCTTGTAATGACATAGTTCTGCAGTCCAGGAAACAGTGCTGCATGGTGTCCATGTCCACGATTTCCTGATGTGGGAAAAAYGTGTGGAAAGCATCTGGAGAGGAGGAGACCCCCTTTACCAGCTTGTTTCCTGTAAGCGAAATTGGAAGACCTTGTCTGTGCAAATAGATTTCAAAATAGAGTCTGCCCTTTGACTGTCTCCATAATTACACAGCGCTCTCTGTATTTTATTTGGCTGCCAGAGCAGTTAACCCCTGGAAGTAAGGGGCTGATGATGGCATGACCAGCACGGGTATGCAGACATGACCATGTGAATACACTCTTGTTTGCAGAAGCCTGTCGTTGAGACCTTCTTACAATATACTTTTACCAAATTTGAGAATTATTATGTGTTGGATTWTGTTGATTAAGATAAGTTATATCAGTAATGTACAGAAAAGTGGAGGTATTAGTTGCAAAAAAGGGGRAAAAAAAGAGAAACAAAAAAAAGTTCTTTAGTGGCTTTGATGTAATCAACATCTGTCAACAGAATGAATTTGCTTTTGTTTAATTTCAAGGGCTCTTGTCCTTCTACTTTGCCCAATCAGTTTCAACTTCTGCCTCAGGCATTTCCCTATGTTGTTCTTGGAGGTTTTTTCCTGGTGGTKTTTTTTTGGGTTTTTTTTTAGCAAATGCACAGGTTATTGCATGTGAAATGTGAGCTGCTCTTCTACTATACAGGTTACACAGAGCTGGAAAGAACCTTTAATCTTTCCCATCCTAGTTTTGAAGCTTGGACATACCTTTGCAACAGAAGGATTACAAAGTCAGTGTAAGTCAGTGTTTTATTAGACAGAGTTACAGTTACAAGGAAAGATCTTTCAAACCACAGCCATTATTGCAGATTGAAAAATGGAAACATTTGGTAATTAGCAGTAAAAAGCTGTATATTCTTACCTAGTTGCATTGGCTGGATTCCACATATTGTTACCCTTAGTGATTTTTTATATCTCATTTTGAACTGTATTCCTCAGAAGTTTCARCAAAATGAATATTTGCACAAGAAACTAAATTATTCTAAAATGTTAAAATTATGTGACAAGCAAAATGAAAGATCTCTAGTGTTTTACCTCCGAATGAGTATATAYTAAGAAAATCTCCAGTCATTCTTTTTCCAGTTTAAAAAGGAAGATTAAATCACATATTTTGAAAAGGGTTGTCAGAACAATGCTTTTGATGTTGTTAACTTTATCAAGAGCAAGTTGATTTTATTTCCTAAATAGTTTGGGATGTTCATGCTTGTAATCCTAAACAATTTTGGTACTCTGCTTCTGTTGATACTGAGACTAAATTATTTTAAAATATGTTCACTTGTTTCTTGTCTCTTTTAAGATGTACTCTTGTATTTATTGTAGCTCAGAATTGTCRTGAAGTTTATCCATTGGTAATATTTTTGTTAATTTCTTGGAAAATTGAAATCAAGTCGTTGCTAACAATCAAATTTGATGAATCATATAAATGAGCAGGTTTTTTTCACAGTTACCCCACATTTCATTCATTGAAAACATAGCTTGATAAATTGCTGTAACAGTTAAACAAGAAGCATTAGAAAAGGGCTTATGTGAGAGTTCATTTTCAACATCTCCCGTTAAAAATACTTCTTGACCAGAGGAAAATCACATTTAAATTACTAAAATCAACTTAATTAAGGGTCATTAATAGAGATACACATAAAAAWCTCTCCACTCTATGAGTGAAATGGGAGCATTTCATTATATAGTGTAACATGCATGAAGAGATAACAATTAAAATAGCCCTAGAGTAAAAGGCTAATAAATATAGGGCACACTGTGCTGCAGAATCAGTCACTTAAAAATGCTCCCACCCATCATAATTCTTGTATGCCATATTAAGCCCCTCTGACTGACTCATTTAAAAGGAAAAAAAAAGGAATTTCCAGACAAGATAAATTCATCCAATAATTCACAAGAGCTCACAGTGCATATTTATATTATTAATCCAAATGAAGGTCTGGAAGGTGTGCTGAGGAATCCAGTGGCTCCGGCAGGACGTGCATGTGCTCGGATTGCACAGTGGGATTCACTGGCGGCTCAGCGGAGCAGTTGTCAGTAATTTTCTGTGCTTGGTGCATCSGAGCTGCTGATGTGATTTGGTAATGCTGCTCATAATTCTCCTTAGTGCAGCTGATAGTAAATACTCTATTGCTCGTGGCAGGTGACGTAGCTTTGCCGTTGCGGTACAGAATGAACACATAAAGGGTCAACTTTGCATCCTGGCCGTGCTGGGCTGTTACCAGCCTAYCCAGCTTCACACACCACGCTCTCCAGTCAGTGGCTGCAGTTTCTGCTGGAAGATGTATAAATGCCAAGTTTATGAACAGTCTTACAGTAATTAAAATACGCAGAAAGCTTAACAAAAAGGATGTGCTTGAGCTTCAGTGTTGCAGAAGYACATAAAGGCATTGAGAAAAGCTTTGATGGGTGTAAGGGGTGGGGTGGAGGGAATTTCTGAGCCAGACTTGGAGAATCTAGACAGTTGTTCCTGTCTCAGGTGATTGATGATGTTGCTATATCAAATTAGCTGGGAATATGGGAGCTTAAAAAATAAAAGGAGCTGTGGAGGCATTAGAAGGCCTTCTTAAGGAAGGAAGTGTGTGGATGGAGTCCAGATTTTCATTATAAACCAGTAACTTCATTATATTTTAATGCCRTTTTATTTAATTTTATTTTTACTTTGTAGGAGAATGTTTTCTYTTATAATTTTTTACATTTCAAATAAAGGTTTAGTTGTCCTGTGTTTATAATTCTTGTCATATGTTTTAGTATGGTGATACTTATTTGCTTGTCTCATTTCATCTGTTCAAGTAGTAGATATTTTTGTATGCATCTGGTTTATAATGAGTAGTTAGTAGAATAACAGCAGGCTACAGTACCTTATTATCCTGTTATTTTGTGACAACACTTGCAGTGTATCTTAGGGAGAATAGAGGTAAAAATTTTATTCCAAATAAAAAGGTACCCCTTCTGAATGTGGGCTCGTCAGTAGACATGCACCCGTGAATATGGTTTAATGTATTTAAGAGTGAGTATCTGGGGGTGTGTATTTGGAATAATTGACAAGGACATTTGCACCTATTCTTCCCCAATTAAACTGTGACACAATAGACAAGATGCCTAGGGAACATGCTGGGCATCAAGGAGAGTGTTTAAAATGCGTGTTCACTTATTGATGTCCATGTGGACTTTAGCTGACMACATCAGTGAGTGTTTGATTTCAATATATTTATAGTGTCTTTAGCTGTGGTATGACCAAGGTACTTCCACTGCACTTTGTAAAAGAGGCAACRTGCCTTGTGCTGTCAGGGTGATCGCTACTTCCAATGGCCCAAAAGTTGCTGCCTCAGCAGATTTTGTGCTTCCAAATTCCAGAAATGAGTGCAAACCAGCCAGGGAGTTTGTGGGATGCTTTATGTTCTTTGGACATTCTTGCAGTTGCAGGTTGGGTGACCCTCTTTTTTTTTTTTTTTTTTTTTTTTTTTTTTTTTTTGTTTTTTTTTTATGTTAATTGGACAATTATTTCTTTTCTTGTGAAGGAGGCTCTAGGAAAGCAGATTATAAGTCTGCTGTTTAAATTCTAATTAATAGGCTACCAAACCAATCCAGCCCTCTGTTAACTGGGCAGCTCCACTTCCTTGGAGACACTTCCTTCTGTTTTGAAGCAAGCAGCTTCCATTGTGGTACTTAGGTTGCACTGAGAGCTTGAGGTGAACCTCACTCTTCAGCTCCACTTTGTTACTATCAACAATTAAAAACAAACCCCAACCAAAAAAAMCAGTAAAAATTTGTTGGAGTAAAAGTTCCTACACCTAGGTTTTAACCTTTTAGATATTGGTACCTAAATATAGCAGTGACCAGTATGCAAAGAGACAGTCAGGAACGCTTCTAACACTTCTAATACAGTCCAAACACTTATGGATTTGGGGCTGCAAAACTCAAATCTCCTGTATGTCATGGAATACTGTAGAAGGGCTGTGTGGGAAAGATTGCACATGTGGAAGCGTAATTCCTGTATCTGAAAGTGATAAATGTATCCAGAGGAGAAGAAGGAAAGTACAATAGAATAAAAACATGCAAGATATAAAAAAACTCTTCTGAAAAAAAATTACATAGTTACAAAATATGCAGTAGATTAATTTCTTAATTTATGTAACTAAACATAAAAATATTTAGTTACTTCTGTTTAAACAAAAACTTTTTACTGGAGAATAATTATTCATCTGGATTACTTGCCACAAGATTGCTCTTGTGTTTGTATACATAATGACATTTTTCAGAAGCAGATCAACTATTATGTTAAACTTAAGTTTCAGAAAAAAAACCCCATGTTTAGATTGTAGAACATTTGASTAGTGGAAATACACACTGTGTGTAATTGTAATGTAATTAGGCAGTGTCAGTAATCCTTTTGAATGTCCCGGTTTTGATGCTAGCATTGTGTTTTGTGGTGCATTATTTTGGTTTTGATGGCTCTGAGAACCTATGGGCTTCAATGCCCTTTCCCCCTCTTTTTTCTTTTATTCTTTTTTTTTCTTTTTTGCAGGGGCAAAGTGTGTCATTGCTTGACAACTAAGTTTGAGCTATGAAACTTTCATCTCAAATTCCCACATGAATTAAATGGAAATCTGATTCAAATACTCCAAATAAATTACAAATTTTAATCCCTTCACTTACTTTTGGCTAAGAATAAAAMTATCTCCTGAAGTTTGTTCTGTTGCAAATGAACAAAATGAATCCCGTTATTTATGTCTTGAGCAGCGAGACAAAGAGCAATGTTACCTTTGTTATGCTCAAATCTGTGACGAATTCTGAAAAAATACAGCTGAAAAATATTGTCTGAAATAACATTAAATTTTATTTTTTGTCTTCTCTTTTCTTGCTATTGTCCTTTATTAACTGCTTTGCCAAGCCTTGARCAGTGCAGACTCTAGCCGTGCAAATTGCTCCAAGCAGCGACCAGTTAGAGCATCACTTCTGTCTATAAACTGTGGGGAATTTACCCACACTGCTTCTTAATGCTTCAGACCAAGAGAGATCTGGTATTTTACAAAGCTTTGAAGTATTGTTTGGGAAAGTTTTTGTTCTCATTTCTTCTCGTTCTTACTGCTCTTTCTTAAACAGTACAAGATTTGAACTGCCCTTGGCAATTACTTGAGTTCTGTGCTTTGTTTTACATGATGCCCTTCTTTTTGCATACTTTCCATTTTGTAATGTGGAAGTAGGAAAAAATGTTAACCATTTTTAATTTATCTGTTAACAGGTTCTGTGACTGGCTGCCACATAATCTTTTCTTTRTGCAATCGTGACTACCTGCACAGGCACTCAAGCAATCAGCAAAGATGCTTCTTTCAGGGACAAAGAAATACTGCTTATAGTATAGTTTGGCCAGCCATGGTTTCTCCAGCTCACCAAGTTCCTAAGGTACTGCAATTTCTGTTAYCTAACCTGTTCTTCAGTCAGTATAGAGTTTGACTGCAGTCATGATCAAGTTTATTTGTTGTCCAGCAGCTGGGGGTTGGATCACTGTCCTGTTGCTTGGTCTGGTATTTGAAATAGGAGTGCTGATATTCAACTGCAATGTATCTAATTATGAGGGAGTTCAAACSCAGAACTTGTTAATTTATAGTGGTATAAATGTGAGTACTGTAATTACCTGTCAACAATTCTGAGTCCAAACTCTTGTTTGGAACAGTTGCACTCAGTACCAGAAGTCAGTAGGCATCCTTCTTGATCATCTGAGTCCCCTTCTGTATAAATCCCTAGCAAGCTAATTATAAAAACATTTATATTTTGCTGATGGTTTTATTATTTGGTTGTGTCACGAAGGGAACATGCAATACCTGCCRGTAGCTGTCCTGCAACCCCACTGCACTTTTTAATGTGCATGGTTTTTTTGCTCCTGAGTGTTCTTTTTCCTTGCAACATATATTTTTATTTTTGTTTACTTTAGACCTAAAAGGGACTTTTCATGCAAATGCAAATTTAACATGTGCTCCACTTCTGGTTTCCATTTTTTCCCTTTCTTTTTTTTCCCCTGTTTAATTGCAGCATACAGATTAACTGTTTAGCATCTTTCCTCTAGCCAAAAGAAACCAAAGGACCCTTTCTAAACAGTGCTTCAAGGATGTGTAGTAGCACTTTTTACAATTTTGCTTTTCATTTTAGTATAGCTTTCTTATGCCAAATATAAGGTATTTCTGTTGGCCAGAAATACTAAAATGTTGTTAGATAGGAAAGTAGGTAAGAATGTTGATTGTAGAGCTTTTAGCCCTAGGAGACTGTGGAAGCTCTGTGTGCAGGATAACTTAGGGTTACACGCTCTATATATTTTCAGAAGCTTAAAAACCATAGCATTTACAAACTTTATTTTCTGTATTTAGATGCTTCTTTTAGGATAAAAGAGGGAAAAATACKTTGTCATAATGAGAAGTTGTCTTCCCAGATCAGAGTTCTCAGACTGTCTAAAAATCAGTCTATGAGCTCTGAAAACTTGAGGGCAAAGCTATTACTTTTATTCAGAATATGACAGAAATCACATTGAAACAATACAGTGTTAAGATGTTGGTGTGAAACTATCCACATGGACATTTGTATGTACACTGCTTTGGGCTTCTCCCTTAACAGTTCATAGAGGTCAGTAGGGTCATGTCTCAGTTAATGCGTAAGTGCCCTCCAAGGGGAAAGTGAGGGTGATGGTGTATGGAGTTGCTAATCCAGCAAAAGACATTGTTTCGGGTTTTTTAAGTCAAGGCACAAACTACAGCAATAGTACATTCTTAAGGTTGATACGGCATTAATTTGAAAGAAATGGGAATCTGAAATGGTCTTAACGTAAAGTTCACTAAAGATAGTTTCACTTTTTATCAGATTAGACATGAAATACCTGTAGGATTTTCCTGTTTAAAGTCCCTATAGAGCTCATTAGTTGCCCCATCTTTGTTACTTCTACACTCTATTGTTGTATAGTCGTGTTGCGTGCGTACAGCCTAAGTGCCTAATTTTTTTCTGCATGCCAGCTTGACTCTGTATTTTGTGAAGTCAGGGCAAAACTCACCCTGTGGCCAGCATGGGAGAAAATCAGCCTGGCTGTCAAGGGCAAAGGGATTCTTCTGCAGCCAGTGAAATAGCCCAGGATCCTSTGAGAGAAAGTGCATTTCCATCTCTGTGCAAGACATTACTGTTCTTATTAGCTTTCATGTTTATAAATTTCATGGAATTGTTGTGGTTTTAAAAAGATCAGATAGGAAATTTCACCTCCTATGACAGCTGTGAAGTTCTTGTGTGAAAAAAAAATATATAAAGGGAAATTTATTACATTTCCCTTGATCTAGCAGATTGGGATACCCTTGTGTAATGTTGTACATGGACAAATTTGGGCACAGCATGTGAACTAGATTAGTATGTAAAAGCTTTTAAATTAAAAGAAGTTAAATCCTAAGATTCTTGGTCAAAAAGCAATCTCRTGGATTTCTCAATAGGAGTTTTGTCTGGATGGGAAACAAAGGATTTGATCAGTTTTAATTTGAGACAAATTCTGTGTGTTTGTCCCATCGCTTCCAGTTTTTAGATGCCTTTTGTAGAAAATGTCCCTCTTTGCAAAAGAAAATGAAAAGTTTTGAAGTCTTTCTCACAGTTTCATAACTTGAGACTGTCTGTGCTGGAAGTCAGCTGCAGTATCTGGGGTTTCAGCACTGGAAGGCTAACAGACTGTGGAAGTCAGTAGTAACAGGCAATGTTAAGTTCAAAAGGGCAGTGGAAGAAATACTGAGGCAGCCTTGAGGGTTTGCCCTGATGGCTTAGGAAGGTCGATACTACGACAGAAAGGGCAAGCTGCCATGAAGCAGGAGGCAAAATCTGAGAAAGTGATCCCATTGTCATGCTCAGTTTTCTGATCTTTATTTTCAATCCTTTTTCTCCAAGCACATAAAGAAGCCAGACTATGTGACGACAGGCATTGTACCAGACTGGGGAGACGACATAGAAATTAAGAGTGAAGATCAGATTCAAGGGCTTCGTCAAGCTTGTCAGTTGGCCCGTCATGTCCTGCTTCTGGCTGGAAAGGGCTTAAAGGTAACAATTACAGAAGTCCCATAACAGCTTAGATGTCTTTTATGCTTTCACTTACTTCGGTTTTGTTCCTACGTTTTTTTTTTTTCTTTTAACTTTCCTATAATATGCATCCAACTTTAAATTCGATCCTGAAGAAATAAGGATTTATTAACTTTTGATTCAGTTCACAATATGCCTGTTTAATTATTTCTGTATTTTGGACCTATGTAGTACTTAGTTGCTGGCTCAGGTGTAATATCTGTGTTTGTAATCTCCCTCTCTTTGGATTGTGTCAAATCATGTGAGTTTCTCATAAGGCCCATGCTACGTTTTTCCCTTAAATTTTGTGGCCCATCTTCCTCATTTGTCGTCCTTTCCAGCTCTGCATGTGTACAAGCCCAAATGGCTTGGTCTGCCTTCTCCATTCCCGTCCATCCTTCAGCCCTCGCTGTCCTGTGGGATCCAACACAATCCGTAGAGCTGCTGTTGGAAAAAGCAGCTCCCAAATTCTACACAATTTTCCAAAGTGCATTGATAATGAATGTGGCTTCCAGAAATGTTCCTACAGTATGCTTTTTGAGCTACCTCCCAAGAAAAAATGTAGAGGGAGGAGCCTGCTACCAGGTTTTGCAGACGAAGAAGTGCTTTTTTAGCCTTGCCTTGGTATTTCATGTAATAGCATATTGGATAAGGTGAAATGGGTTGAGTAGCTATGAGATGCAGAGATAGATGGGGACTGTAGGTCAATGCCATTGACTTAAAACAGGATTTTTCTTTCAGCTATCATCACTGTTTCCKGAAGGTTTAGTACTGGAGCTGGGATGGCCAGTAACAAATCTGCCTAAAGCTTTAATCTTACATAGCTTTGTGCCTGTTTAACTTTTTAATGTTCAGTTATTTCTCATTAAAAGTTAAGGGCATATACATGTTTCTGAAGGGTCAGGGTGCAATGTGAGTTTTGAATGAGGGCAGTTTTTCACAACTACTCTTTGGTTGTTCTCATGCAAATACACATGCATGCAGTATGGTGTAGTTTATGACGCAGTTCATACTATGTGCCAAATCATATATAATAGCAAAATACCATACACATAYCATGAATGTTTTGGAATAAAATGGTGTATAAGAATTACATAACCAGGACCTGTGTACTGGAAGGGAGGTAGCATTTGGAGTTGCAGTGCTGAGACCACTGCCCAGGTCAGTCATAGCTCACAGATGGTGAGCTCAGCTTTACACAAGTGTTTGTTCAAGACTCCTCTGACTGGGAGGATGCTCCAAAACCGTCCCTCATTGACAGTGAGCATTTTCTGCTTTCCAGCCTGACACTGTACAAGATCAGTTTATACCCATCTGTTTTCGTGCCAATACTGCTCTTTGAATTAAACAGCTTCCTGCCTTTCTTTGAGTCTTCCCTTTCACTCAGGAATAGAGCTGTGTTCCAGACTAAATGAAGCTGTTTTAGGCTATTCCTATAAGCTAAACTCTGCATTCTTATTTTATCTGAAGAGTTCCATCCCTCCACCTGCTCCTGTTGTCTTGCTGAACCCACCTAGCATGCAGTCCTCCGAACTGGCTCTTGCCTGTRCTTCAGCTAGTGGCAGTAAGATCCCCTAATATGACAAAGGTGTGTTATAATAGATGGATACAGAGAGATATAGTTAGAACTGTGCATGGTTTTGATGTTACTATTACTGCCTGTGGGACTTCAAATTACAATATGGTATTATATATGATAGCTTTCCTGGGTTTGAGTTACAATTTGGGAATAAAGCAGCAGATTCTATGACATGAAAATATTTTATTATATACCATTGAATTGCCCTGTTCCAAATAAGGGATTGGGTGCACAGTAGGTGCCACCCCAAACTTGCCCAGTTAGCAAAAGTATCTTTAAAAGTAAAGCACATACTGTTAAAAGCAGAACTTTTCACAGGGTGTAAGCCATGCAGAGACCAGAGATGTCTCTGCTGAGTGTCCAAAAGCCACATCAAATTGCTTGAGCAGAGCAGCAGCAGACAGTACCCATTTGGGTACACAGCAGTTCRGTTTGTCTGTGGGCTGAAGATGAAGGTGTTTGAGCAAAGGCATGAGCCACAAACCTGTATTTATCCAGAGCCAACGGCTGCCAGGTCCAATCCAGACAGTGTGCCAAGGCTGCAGCTGCCAACCCAGTGCTGAGGCTGCAATGGCTACTGCAAAGCAGGGGTATGTACAGCAACCCCAAATCCGGGTCTTGAACCCACGTTCATCACTCCTCCTGCCCAACAACATTTCTGTGCTGAACAAAATTCAGCTGATTAAACAGATCTGGTTTTATCCTCAGCACAGAACAAAAGTGCACTCTCCTGTATTCACTGTGCGTGGCCACTCAGTATTTCAGTACATGACTGTCTCCTGCACTACAGCCTACCTGTGTTCCATGTGTTACTCCAAAATCACAGCCACTGTGATTTTTCCTTCAGTGTGCCAAGACTGATACTCGTATCTGTACAAACTAGGATCTTCAAAGGCTCAAAACTCATTCAAATCAAAATCAGTTTACAGAGGAACCCTCAAAAGTACTCAATGACAGTGGTTTCCCTACCAGATTTCAAATTTCATCTCTAATCATTCCAGAGATAGAGTTGATCCAAAAGAAAAGTGAGAATARTGTTATTTTCAGCATGTGCACTTTCTATTCCATGGATACTCAGAAAATGGTTGAATGGTTTATGAGAGGATTATTTTTTAATATGTAAAATCTTGAGGAAAAGATTAATCTAGAAAACRTCAAGCGTAAAAATGAAGATTTCTGAAAAGGATGGGTAGGCGCTTGTAGATTCACTATAAGCATCCAGGCTATGGCAACTTTAGGTAAAATATCTTCAAAATATGAAGCTAAATATTAAAATGTTTTATAAAATTGAAGAATACCTGGAAAAATAATTTAAATGCTTAAATACATTATAGTAAATATACTGGACAATTACAAGACTTAATAGCCTTTCTTTTAGAAATTAAAAGGGAAAGTAATGTTGTGTTTTAAAGGACTGAAAACATTGAAACRAGACATTTCTGTAGCAACTACTGAAACAAGATGCCATGGGAAGTTGATGTCTTTGAGAAAGCAGATGTGGAAAAAAGAACAGAAAGGAAGTAAACAGTATTTTAGGTTTTCTAGGAACCTTTGAGTGCTCATTTCTACTGCATGCTGTATTTAAAACCTTTTTCTCTCAAAAAGAAGTCCATATATCAAAAAAGTATATCAGACAGTATAGTGTTTTGTATCAAAGCAGCGTATTTGAAACATCCAGTATTTCATTGAAGCATGGCTGCAATCACATTCAGYAAATATGAGAAACTATCTTTGCTTTTTTAACAGAATGTTATGTTTGATATTTTAGGTTGGCATGACAACTGAAGAAATAGATTCCATTGTTCATCATGAAATAATCAGACAGAATGCCTATCCGTCACCTCTGGGATATGGAGGTTTTCCAAAATCTGTTTGTACTTCGGTAAACAACGTGGTATGTCATGGTATTCCTGACAGGTATTTCCCCAATAATGTACATTTTGCAACTGGGAATTAAAATACTGAACTGAAATTAATAAATTATATTTAATATTGAGCGCACTTCAGCTTAACCAAATGTCATACATAAATGCATTGCAGATGCAGAATATGTTACCACATGATGCTGATAGCTGCTATAGAAATGTATGTGAAATAGACAAAAAATATATTATCCTGTTTGTCCAGACACTTAAAGAAAAATAGCATRTTGCATTTTGAGTTTAGTGTGTGTGGCAATAAAAACAGTACAGTCTGATTTTTTTTCATCCAGTGAAATAAGTATAGACTAGGAATAAATATATTTGAATTTATGTGGGTTTTTTTTTTTATTCTCAATGCATTCAACTACTCACAAAGTAAAATATGAACCCTAGTGAGAGAAAAAGAATAAATATAATGGTAGATTTTTCAGGTGTTGATATGTTTTTCTGGTAGTTGTTTCTCATTATTTTATATTCAGCTACACTTGTTCCCTAAGTAGTCAGAGCTGAACATTAAAAATGGTTATTCTGTTTGCCTCTGCCTTCCTCCATCACAAAATATCTACCCCTTGATTTTTTATGTATGTGTCATTAGGTGTTTATTCTTATATTCCCTTTGTTGGGAACTGTCTGTCACCATTATTTTTTTTTCTGTTTATATTTCAGTCGACCTCTTCAGGATGGAGATATTATCAACATTGATGTCACGGTGAGTAATTCATATAAAAAATAGTCTTTGATCAACTTTAGAATCACTAGTAGCAACAGGAAGAATAGTGGATTGGAGATGGGGGATGCACAGATGGATCTGCTGTTTACTTCTGAGCCAAGGCACAAGCAGCTGGTTTCCTTTTTTGTTTTTAACTGTGTGTTTATTCCAGCTAGACCCAGGCCTGACTTGAATTTAGGACTGGAATCAGATGCACTGAGATCAATGTTGGCCTAAGTGAAATGTCAACCCAATCCTGCTATGTGTCATGTTTTTGAGAAGGTGTAATTGTTATTGATCCACTGTGTAGTTAATGCAGAGCACCACAGTACTGGGCAGCAGCTGAAGATAGATATGTATGAGATGAGCTAACATGAAGAAAGCCAGCATTTTTCCTTCACTCTGCCAAGATTGATCTTCCTCTTCCTGCTGATTTTGAGTGGGGCCTGACATTATCTTACTCTGTCATTAGAGGCTACATTGGCCTGTGTATGTCAGTCTATTTGGACAGCAACTCTTTTGCTAGCAGTGTTCCCTACATTTATTAAAATCCCCGAAGGTAGTGTTGTGTTCCATTTCTGGTATAAAAGCCCTGAACCTTTTGAGCAGAAACAGAAATAGTGTGATATAACTGTGACTTAATATTTCCAGAGAATCATCAATTACAGCTATTTAAATAAACAGAGGCTGGATTTTCCTAGGAGCAAAAAAGCACAGGAACTGGAAACCTAACTCTCATTTCATTTATGAAAAAAAAAAAAATTGTGTCTTGCAGTAGTTTTTTTTTCTTTTTGCTGTACATGTTTTTATTTTTCTGAAGTGTGAATATTTATTTCTAATATGAGCACAGATGTCTTTTGAATACCACCATAATTTTTCAGTAATACGTCACATACAAGAGAGTAGCATCTCATAAAAACAAGCTTTTAAAATCATTAAAGAAACTCTTGGTAACATGATACTATTTTCATACTGGCAGAGTGAAGAAATCTCCAGCAGACCTACCTCTGAGCATGAGATTCAAGCTTTCTAAAATATTTTTTCTATTAAAATTAGAGTCAATGACCTTTTTCCCATTATATACTCACATGTGATCCAGAACTGGGTTTGGCTTGGCTTGGTTTTTTGATCTTTTAAAATTCTTTCCCATCTCCATACTTTCTAATCGTAGAATTCTATCAGCTTTACACAGTGCAATCTAGCATTTTTAAGCTTTATTTTTGGCCTTCATTTTTACTTTGGTGAACTGGTGTCACTTTGCTCAGTTTATTAGACTAAATCAGTTTGCAACACCTAATGATTTAAATTTTRTTTCTTTGTACATACGTAAGGTTCATGTTACTTTTTATTCTATCTGTCAAGATAATAATGACACCTTAGATGAAAAAAAAATGTGGAGACTCACATCACAGATACTTTCCATGAGAAACTAAATGGAACATTTTTGTATTAACATAGTGTGCATATCTTGTCCACTCTGCTTCACAAATGTCTGACTAAATATTACTGGCCTTTTTGAAGACATATATTTATTTGCTTTCAATTTACCTTTGTAAAATAAAATAAATCTTGACTTTTCTGTGAATGTGAAGATTCCTGCAAGGATGGGAATTGTTGACTATTTTTGTAAGGATTTTTTTATCATTAAAACTGAACTGTGCTCTGTGTGATGATAATTGCTTAGTGCAAAATAACCAAGGAAAAAATACATCATTACTAACTGATCTCTTAGCTTATTTTTAATGAGTAGAACTGGRACGTTTCACAGCTGGACAGGATAAAAATCAAAGTAAATATTGCACAACAAATTGTTTATAATTGTGTATAGATTCTATAAAATAATTAAAAAATTCTCAGGTTGTTAAGTATAAATACCTAGCACTTTGTACAAATTATCTGAACAAAAAAATCCATTTTGCCACAATTAAGATGGTTGTATTTCATAGATGAAATACAAATTTTATAGGCTTGAAACATGTAGACTTGAAAATGTATTTTAGTGTAGAGACAATAGTGTTATCCATCTCTGGATCCTCAGCATAGTGCAATTTCCAGCCTATTGTTACCAGGTCCTTTCACTGAATTTTAAGGAAATAGTATGTTACAGTTGCTGTGGTTGTAGTTTGTTAACATCAAAAATATGTAGTTGCAGTTGATGGGCTGCAGTAAATATTATTGCTGTTGTTATTATTAATATTATTTTTAAACTCCTGTGTTTTAAATCTGTGTTTGGTTTTCTAGGAAAATAATGTTTAATGTTGGGGGTTTGTGTATTTTACTTGCTAGAGCTAAAAACAAACTGGTTCAGTTTAAATATGAACTATCTAGCTTAAAACGTGCCCAATGGGCATTAAAAAAATAAAGATTTTGCTGTAGTCTGAGCTGGCAGAGGAAGGTGTAGAACAGGGGGTTGCAGCTGCTCTTTGCTGGTGCGGTGACAACACTGCTGGGCCCGTGCTGGCACTCACCTTTCTTTAAAACACCCCTTGTTCCTAATGGCTTGCATTTTTTTCACATCTCAGCCTGAAGACAAACCTGGCCTTGGGATAAACTCTCGGTAGCATGGGTTTTTTTGGGGTTGCGGGTTTTTTTCTCGTTTGGAATCAACCAAAAAGAATGTGAGTCTGTTTTTCACGAATAGCTTGCCAGTGGCAAAAGTTCAGTGGTTCAAGCTCGGTGAGTAATTAGTTGTATAAGGATAGTTGCCCACTGTTTGGGGGAGAAAAATTGTTTTAGAAGAACAAAACCATGTACCATTATAATTTGTCTTTTTGTAGAGACATTTGGTTCAGTCTTACAGTTATGGGCCTGCCTATCATGGTGCAGAGCTGCAAAACCCATTTTAGTGGTGTGTTGCAGAGGTCCATAGTGCATAGTTAGGGTTTCTTGTGCTCAACAGAAAATTTCAGGAGAGCTAATGTTTCAAACCTATGAAATGTCAAAAAGAAAAGAAAAAAAAACCAATATGTAATTAATTCAACAGCATGTTTCATTTCAGAACATGAAATTTTTCAGTGCCACARCAGTACATTTATTCTCTCAGAATTCATCTCTGGAAATCAGAAGTAAAATCCAGTGCTAATACCACATTGTAGGTTAAAAATGTGATTAAAGAAAGCCTGCAAGCGCTGTCGGTGGATTTGGCCCATGCATTCCGTGGGTTTACTCTGGGTGTTGGTAGCAGGGTGTGGCTCTCCCCTCACAGCTCCAGCGGGTGCTGCTGAGTGCGACATCCATCGCCCTGCCTGCCACCAACAGGCTCCCCATGGCCAGCACTGGGGCTCAATGCCCCGCCCCTCTGGGGTGCAAACAGGTCCCTGACCCCCGGGGCAGGGGCCAGGATGGGTTGGTACCCCAGGGCCCCCTTCAGCTCATTCACAGCCTCCACCCATCTTCTCACAAACAGCCCAGTTATCCTCATGTCCTGGAGATGAGCAGGGTCACTGTCTGATGTACTGCTGGGCACTGATGCGCAGCTTCTGCTTTTCTTGAATTTTTAATTGGCAACATTGGCAACCCTTAGGCATCTTGCAAKCTTTCAGGGTTTTTTTTTCCTTCCCTCTGCAATGTTTCACTTTTCCAGTCTCACAAATACAAYGTACCTGCCTATCTGTTGCAATATATAGCTTGTTCCTAGAAAGAATGGATTTAGTTAAGAAATCAATCTGTTGGTGGATGCAAAATGAGAAAATGTCTTTACATTTCTGCATGTGCTTAGGTGTATTACAATGGCTACCATGGTGACACTTCTGAAACCTTTTTGGTGGGCAATGTGGATAAATCTGGTGAAAAGTTAGTGGAGGTTGCCAGGAAATGTAGAGATGAAGCGATTGCAGCTTGCAGACCAGGGGCTCCCTTCTCTGTAATTGGAAACACAATCAGGTAAGCCTTATATTGACAAGTAAAAGGAGGGCTGGCAAGTGGGACAAAGGTTATTGGTGGTTTGGTATAAAGCTGATGACATGTTTTATGATTCAAAACCATCATTTCAGTCTGATATCAGTATGTGAACTGCCAAGCTATAATGTTGTTCCTTGGGTAAGAGGTATTTTTTTTTAAAGTGAATTACGCTAGGGTCAGCAAAGATAACTGTAGAAAGGGACAGATATTCATAAAGTAGATTTAAATTAACAGATGTAATTTGCAGTGGGCTTTTGTTTATTTTTTATTTGTGTGTGACACTACACCACATTTATCTAACAGTGTAAAACAGTTAGAAGGCATTGTTTTCATTGAATGTTACAAAGGAATTAGCSAACATAAATAAGCTCTTTGTTTAAAAATTACGAAAATATTTAACTCGAGAGCTTCTGATCTTACAAAGAGCAGTGTCTGCTAACGTCACAGGAAAAAAAGAGCTGACATTCAGAGATTTTTCCCTATTTTACATCTCTTCTAGCCTTTACATAAATGCAGTCATGACTCTTCTTCTGCTGATGGCTTTAAATAAAAATGCATCTTAGTTTTTTGAAGGTGCCTATGGATTATTTTAAAATGTTTGCCAAAAAAAGAAATATACATATATTATATACATTTCATTAAGCAATAGTTCTTCAGACTGCTAATGGTCCCAACAAGCTATTGAATTCATTCTGATTACTTAAAAGCTGCAAGGCTTAGTCACCTTGAAAGGATGCTGCTTTTTTTTCTTTGTAAATCTTCAAATACTTTAAGAAAAAAAGAGAACGGCAAAATATCAGTTAGATGTATTTATAGCTTTAAAAATATTGTAACAGAGTCTGAATCAAACTTTAGTAAAACCTCTTTGGGTTATATCTGAGAAGCTTTTATTGAAGACTTTGTATAAAATTGTGTTTTTGACAGTTTTAAATTATAGGCTAACTAGCCTGGAGAAAAAGGATAGTGTCTTTCTGTTCTTTCATAGGAAATGTTGAATCAGACCCCTACTGGGAAAAGAAATTTAATGCATATCTCACTATCTTACTGTCCATGAATATAATAGAAGTGAATTCAAAATGTAGTTTTATTTTTGCAAATGGGACGAGTCGATAGATGCACCTCATATTTTTGAACACCTAGGGTTCAACAAATTTACTGGTGGTGCTCTTGCATTTTAACAAAATTTATTCTTGAGTAGAAGGGGGCACAGAACACTGGATTCTTATTCAAGCATTCTATCGAGCTCTGCATTCATGGCTGTGTCTAAAGGGCATGTCAGCCTTTGATTCTCTCTGAGAGGTAATTATCCTTTTCCTGTCACGGAACAACAAATGATAGCTAACTACAGAGGCACATTTGCAGTAGTCACATTCATCAACTGCAGAAAAAAAATTCAATTTAATTGTGCAACACAGCTGCACATAGGCTTTTTGAGCATTTCTGTTGTTCTCCCTGTCTTGCTATTCCTCCCTCCAGATCTATTTTTTAAACTTTTTTTTCTGGTTATTTTTTCCCCCTTTTTGTCTCTTCTTCCATTTTTACTCTCTGTACTTTCTTGTTAAAGTAATTTTCTTTTGTGGCTCTCATTCTTTTTTCCCCATTGAAGGCTATGAATGTAGAAAATTATCACAATTACTCATATAATTGAGCCTCTTTGTAGCAAGTGCAACTCCAGTAGCCTTTCTCCATCATGAAAATGGTTTCATTATAGGGTTTTTCATATTCTCTGACACCATCTACACAGAGGAACAGGCGTGCAGATGAGATGTACTAGGAACAGGGTAGATCAGTAAGGTCACAGTAGGAATAATTAGCTCTGCTATGGAAAGAGCATCTAGGCCTTTTACTGCTACATAAATGTACTGTCCATGGCTTTTAGTCACAAAAAAACTTACTAACAAATGGAGCTCCCGCCTACTACTTTGAAAAAAAGATTTGTATCAACACTACAATTTTCCATCATTAAGACTAATAACACAGAGCCTAGTATACATCAAGGGGAATAAAAAGAAAAATCTCACATTCAAGTGGCGGCTGGGTGCTGACCTTTGTTCCCTTTTTTTGTGTTCAACTTAACTCTTTACAAAAAAGAGCCACACGCCACACCAACATGCAGGTGAACTCCAGCTAGTGCTAGCAAAGCATGGCATTCAGTTGGAAAATCTGATAAATCTCCATGCAGGATAATGCATTTCATTACAGATTCACTACATTAATTCTAGCTGTTTTATTTAAAAAAAAAAAAAAAAAAAAAAAAAAAAAAAAAAAAAAAAAAAAAAAAATAAAAAAAAAAAAAAAAAAAAAAAAAAAAAAAAAAAAAAAAAAAAGAAGAAAAAAGAACAGAGTTGAATGTGACATTGGATTTTTGCTGTGTTGGTACAGAGGTCAGTTTACTTGCAAAATACAAATATATAGTCAGCATCCCCTTTGCGAAGTAGATTAATTGAAGCTGGTAGCTGTTCAAAACTGCATATGAAATAGCAAGTCATTAACTTTATTTCTCAAGATTTTACCATGTTGGTGATTTAAATGTGCTGATTTGTTTAGAGCTACTTACTATTTTAACACTGCCTCTGCTGAAAGATTACCTTGGCTTGGTGAAGCTGTGTGTTTCAGGTTATTTGTCATTTGACATTTGCTTGCAGACAGACGTGTAATACTTACATATATGCATACCTCAAAATCTCAAGTTTCACAAGAGTTAGGGATCATAAATGCCTGAGAACAAGCACCTGAAAACATTTAGGTCCATCAGAATGGAAATGCATCTAGGTTTCTTTCATCAGTTTCTCTTTAAGAGTGCTCAAGTCATATGCAGAATGCATCTTACACACAAATAATCAGAATATTTCCTTTCTACAATAGGTTTCAGAGTAATTATGTCTCAGAGGTAAGTTTACAGTCAACATTCTAACATAGTCTTTGTTATGGAAGCTCAGTAGCTRACACTGAGTATTTCATTGATAGCAGTTCCTTCTCCCATCAGCTACAAGTTGCAAATAAAAGATTGCTTGGGTTCCTGAGTTACCTTGCTTAAAAAAATTTGGGTCTTTGCTAACCTCTTTCCATGGAAAGGCATTTCACAACTATTGGTCATTTCCTGTGGAAATGGAATTGTGCCCTATGGTCCGTTTTCTTCTACCATTTTTTGACATTTCTCTTTCAGGCAAAAATAAATCTAGTTTGAAATATGCTTTTTAGAAAATGAGTCTAGGTGCATGAAAGGTGTGAGTGTAGAGAGCTAAAAAACTTGTATGTGTTGTTTTTAAATAAACCAAATCTCACTCCTACAAAAAAATAGTACTGATGAAAGTATTAATAAATTGTTTAAAGTGTTTAACTGGTAAGTATATGTTTTGATATTAATTTAGAATAATATAAAGCAGATTTTTAAAAAAATCTGTTTCAATCAGATTATGCACATTTAAACAATAAGTGGCTCAGGCAAAATAAGTCATTTTAATGTCATCTGTGATAGATTTTCCTTGACAGCTACTGTAAATTACAATTACACTGCTTCTCTCTGCACTTGAAAGTAAGCATTGCAATAAATTATCTTTTATTTCAATCCATCATGTCTGCTTTCAGAAACAGAGAACCTCAAATAAAGTTCAGCACTATTGTAAGAAAAATACAGTAATTTGTGTTRCAGTTTGAAACTAAAATGTACCTTTCTTTCAAAAAACAATCGTTTGCTTTCAAAAATATTACTAATTATACCTCAACATKTATTGTCATTATAGGGAATTCCCTGAACTTGTGCATTCCCTCAGTCTAGGATTACTACTTCATAAAAAACACTTGAATATTTTCGCTGCAGAATTTTTTAATTTCTCAAAGTAGATACTATGGTACTATTCAAAATAGATATTTTTATTAAATGTAAATGTAGTTTAGACTGATGCTGGTTTCAATACTTTWAAAAAAAMCAAAACAAGTATGCCATTCMGTGKCAAATTATTTTGCTAATAATATATCTAAGACAAACATGATTATTTCCAATTTAAGAAAAAAAATTAAAAACCAGATCCCTGCCTARGAACACAAWTATTGTAGGGCTGTTAGCAGTTTCAGTGTCTCTTGAGTGTGTTCACTGCCAAGAAGTGTAAGACAAATTTGTTTAACAACTTCAGCCATTCATGTCATGCTGCTCTTCAGGGCTGTTTTTTATAAAGTTTCATCCCTGGTAAGAGAAGCTGGCACTGTGGGAGAAGCATCCCTGGCTGAGAATCAGTTCACTAGGATGCTCGTCCTGGGTAGCAAAGCAGTCTGTGCCACCATAAAGCCCATAGAAGCAGTTGCTATCAATGCTGCAAATGGGATTGTTGCACTTTTTTTCCTTCAGTGAGTGCTAAGAATACTAGACCAGACCGACATTGAGGAAAAAGTGACAAGATTTGGTAAAAGAAAATAAAATGCTCCTCTAGATGCTCCTAGAGGGTATCTGCACAGGACAGCCCCTAAGGAAATTCTTTCAACCTGCTTTTCAGCTTCTTAGCGGAAGGAATTTATCACCCAAGAGCTCCTTTCAGGGGAAGCTACAGTATCAGGGAAAGCTTTCTAAAGAATCAGTCCTGCCTGTTCCTGCTTTGCAGCAATTTCCCTGTTAGGCTGCTGTCAGGACAGCAATGCATGTCTCCACACTTACCCTCCTTTCAGAGAATTAACTGTTGTCTGGCAACATGGGAAGAGGATGCTCAAATGGCAAACTGACACCCATTGCTCCTGTCTCCATTCTCCGAAGCATGATAGCACCATGTGACGGGCTCTGACAATGGGTTTAGGAGGACAACTTGGCCCTCAGTGATGTTCCTTTACAGCTCAGTCACTGCRGATCCATCCCAATGGCAGACACTTTGCCTGGCTTTGCCTTCAGCGAAAGAAAAGCAGCACTGCAGCTGCTCTTGACTCCGCAGCCACTGGACTGGACCAGATGGCAGCAAAACATAAAATCAAGTACTGGGCTCACTACAATAACTATGCTTTTAATCCTGCCCAATTCACCTCTGCCCAAATATGCAAAAAAATTGATATGGATGATGATAAATGTTGTCAATGGGTATTTTTAACGATTATTCTGAAGAACCTTTTCTTTTTCTCTTGATGCTGCCTTGTGAGGTATGCCTCTGCTGCCCCAGTGTTTGCTCTGAAATGATTTGCTGGGATGTGCCCCATGGGTAAGGGAAATTGGCTGACTGGCACAKCCTTTCCCACAGCAGGTGCCAGGCAGCCCAACTCAACCATGCCAACCTCTTCCAGCTGCCTAACCTTACACTGCCTTTCTGCAAGAAACATCTGATGAAGTTGGGGCTGCAATCTTGTAGGGTTGTCTTATGGAAAAGCTGCAAAGAAAGGTCACCATTGCCAGGTCCTGAGCTGGGTAGTRAGACAGTGAGACCAAAATGTTGAGCTGTTATCAGCAACAAATGGTAAGTGTATGCAAAAATCCTRCACTCCACAACATCTTGACTTTTTAATCAGATTCCACAGTCTGGGAATCCTGGAAATCAGATAGTCTAAACAAGACCAATATTCACTCTTCGATRAACTGTTTCAAAGTTACAGCCAACATGTAAATTTACAGGATTACCTTTTCAAATTGTGGCTGGGATTACAGCTTTCCTTTTTTAATTAAAACTGTGTGTTTTGCTTTAACTCCACAAGGGTATAAGAGCTCACTAGGATTTATTAAATACTCCAAAGTAAAGCTAGTAGTTGTGGAGAGAAATGCCTCATAGGACCTTCTGAACCACATTCAAATACTAGAACCAGATTGAAAGTGGCTGAGTTTCATACCTGCATCTTATTTTCTCCACACATTTTCTGTGTCCCTTCAGGTCTGTTGACCTTGTTACATTTTATGGAAAGAATACAAAGGCTCTGTAGATAAGATGGGAGAAAGAGAGGCACAGTGTCTGTTAACGTAGATGTCAAAACCCTGTAAGCTCTAGGATGCCTCCAGGATGCCCTATTCTGATTACAGAAGTAACCACTGAAGCACTGATGCCAACAGAGTTGTTTTCAAGCTGTTTGGCAAGAAAGTGGTAGAATTCACCATTGAAATGTGAATCATTTCTTGACTGCATGAGGATGGGATACTCATACACACACAGTCGTAGCACTGCCTTCTGTGTTCCCGGGTGCTTTGTGCACTTGGTATCCAGCATGCAGCTGCTGCTGCTACTGCCTCCCTCCTTGGCAGTAGCTGAATGCTGGAGCTGGAGCTTCCCCTGCTCCCTGGAAAGTATGAAGCTGTAGTGCTCAGAAGAATAGCTGCGCAGAGAAAAAGTATTTYTGTCTTGGATGGATTTTTCTGGAAGAAAAAATCCTGTAGTAATATAAAGCATCTCATAAAATGGCCATAYTCTGTCAGTGGTCAGGGATGCCATGTAAGGACATCAGCAAAGCCGAACATTTAGTGGGATTGTTTATGATTTTTTTTTTTTTTTGCAAAAAGACTTGCAGAAGAAGGTGACAGAAACCTTACCCCATATTGCATGGATGGCTACTACCGTCTCTTCAGAGAATCACTTCACCCATATGGGAATCATCATCTGCATTGCTCTGGGCTTGGTCACTGGGGAGCTGGGATTTTGTGTATGTTTCTGAGGAWTGTGGCTTTCTAACTCATCACCATCCCCTGTACTTCTTGCTTGGCCTTCAGCAGCATCATAGCCAGCAGGCCAAGTATCTGACCCAGATATGGGGAATTGATAGAAATGCAAGGGAGAAAGTATTTTCCATCTCTAGTAGGACTTCTCATTGTGTAATCCTTCATTATTTTTTTTCAACATAAATTATGTGTAAGGCTGTGTATCTAAAAATGATTTACAAAGGCTGGACTTTGAGTACAAGCAAATGAAGCTCCAATTTCTAGCTTTATTGGTAATCGCCTTTGCCAGTACTCTGGAGTTTAGGGGCAGCTAAACCTGAAATTTTCATTCTTCTCCAGAGTTAATGAAGAAATATGATGAGTCTTTGTATCAGAGCAATGAGTAAGTRAAAGGTAATATACAAATCCTGTTAAAACATGCTCTAGGGTCTGAACATTGCCATTTCGCTGTGGTGGAGCAGCATGTCCCTCAATTGAGTGGCATTAAATTCTGGAACAATGACCACGGGCACTAGAGCCAGCACTGCAGGGTCTGTGGAGCCTGGTGTGCAAAGGGGATTACTTTGTATAGCAAGCTGAGGCCACTTTGCACCTGAATAAAAGCTACCCTGTGAGGTTTAAGATGCTTTAATTTCTGCAAGAGCTTTACCTTTAGTTGAGTTTCTTAACTTTTTAAGTTTTCCATCTGTAGTGTAACTGTGAGAGGGCATTCACTAGGACATAAATACAGACAAACCTGAAGTTCTTCAGGGCCTACCTTCATTCCAAATAAGCAAATTAAGCGTTTAATGTTGTAGGTGAAATCTCTTCAGGCAGTGTCTTCCTGTCTTGCTCCTGTTTGATTTTAGAAATAGGGTGGGGATAATACGCAGGGGCAAGAGTAACTGTCTTGTCAGTTCTAATGCATCTCCATCTAAGTGCATCTCTGCACTTTTCTGGTTGGATATGGGCAGGCCTCCTCGCTGAGCTGCTCAAATCACTCCATCCACTACTGCCTCCAGCATTGCTTGGAGTAYGGGGAGAGCCTGAGAGTGAAGCCTGCAGACATGGGGTGGCCCAGCAGCTAGAGGACACCCCATGTGTCTCCAGGTCCTTCAGTTTTGGGGACCTGGGATGGGAATTTGCTTTCCTAGCATGGGTAGGGATCAGTACCCAGCCATGGTCCTGCAGGCAGTTCTCAGAGATGGCTTCTCCCTGAGGCAGGCCATGAAAGGCAGGGCAGATCCTGCAGGCAGAGCTGAAACACTGTAATTGTTATGATTTGGTTTTGCCTCTGTGGTGATAGGTTCATTAGAAATACATTGTTATTTAGCATGAAGGTATTTCAATGGATTTTTATACTGAATGTTTGCAGTGTTATGAAAGCAGAGCAGTGGGGCTCTGAACTCTCCCTATGTGCAGCGGGAGCCTCTTCTGCAGGAAACCCAGTGCAGGCCTTGGGTATGCAGCTCAGCACAGGCTCTTCTCTTATAGGGAGCTGGTAGGTTTGGTGGTGTGCTGGGCCCTTGGTGGCCAGCTTGGCAACTTTAGCTGTGCATCTTAAAATGAGTTCCCAGCATGCTTGTGGAAAAGGTTACCCGCCATYGAGCAGGGGGACAACACACTGCCGTTTTAGACAGCAGGACTGGCACAGGAGCTACCAGCCTCTGCTGGCGGGCATGTTAACTCTGAAACCTAACAATGGCTCACCCATGCTCGCTTCAATGACTRCTGTCTTTCGGAACGGTGGCAAAGTGGTGACCCAGTGTCGGTAGCAATGTGGTAGCAGGGGCTGGGGCCGTCTAGCGGGGGTGGTGGTCGGGGCACGCACCCTGACAGGTCCTCTTTGCTCCCGCAGCTCCGTGGCGGGGCAAGGTGGCTTCCAGGTCTGCCCCTTCTTCGTCGGCCATGGCATCGGGTCGTACTTYCACGGGCACCCCGAGGTGTGGCACCACGGTAAGTGGCCCCGCCGGCCAGGCCCGCCTCCCCAGGCGCCGCTCCGCCCGGGCGATGTGAGGGCTCCGGGAAGGGGGAGAGAGAGGGCGGTGAAGCGAACAGAGCCCCCCCACACACACTGCCGGTCCGGCGGGGCGGGGGATTGCCGGTGGGGACATTAAATGGTTGGGAAGCTGGAGGGCATCCCCGGCCTCGTTTTCTGAGAGTCGCGCGGGTATTTTTGAGGACAAGGCGCTTRCTAACGGAGCTGCCGGCGCAGCTGAGTGCCGCAGTCCGCCTTCCCCCTCGTCCGGGCGGCAGCCGCCGTGTCCCGCGCCTCCGCATCCCGCCCGCGCCCGAGCCACGCCGGCAAAGTTTGTCACGGGGCAAAGAAAAATCTCTGCTGAAACATTAAAGCCCCCGGCCTGGCCGGAGCCGCCGTGGGTGGTTTYGCTGCGGCCGGGGTGGGATCGCTTTCGGCGGGTGCTTCGGCTCATAACGGGGTCCCGGGTACCCAGTTTGCGAGCTAAAAAGGGGTTTAAACAAAGCGTCCTCTTTAAAAAAATAAAATAAAATAAAATAAATAAATAAATAAAATAAAAAAAAGATTGCGTTCTCTTTAAAAAAAATTTAAAAAAGAAAAGAAAAAAAAAACCAAAAATCCAAGATGCATAAAYGCGATTTTTTTTTCTTTTGTAGCCAATGACAGTGATTTGTTAATGGAAGAGGGAATGGCGTTCACAATAGGTTAGTAACTCTCTGCTATGGTTTTCTGTTAAGAAGCACATACGGAGCAGCCAAGATCTGTAACATTTCTTTATTGGGMTATAGAAATAGCCGTGCAGACAGGGTTGATGTCGATGAGAGATKGACCCCTTAAGAAACAGATTAAAATATCATTTAAAAAATGCATTAGGAACAATTTGGGTGAAAGAATTTCAAATTGCAAGATTTAAAAAATGGAATGTTAATTATAAATTTTACTAATATTTAATTCATGGTTTTGGCAAGGCAGAGACTCTGCCAGCACACTTGGTTCGAGGAGGGTGAGAAGGATGCGATCGCGTCCCCGAAGTCGAGCAGCCTGGTGGCTCTTAGTCATTTGCTGCCTTCCAGAGCTGCTGCTGGGTTTGGGGACTGCGGCGGCGGTAACCAGCCGAAGCCTCGCCCCGCAGACTGATCGTGCTCACTTCCAGTCGTGGAGAACTGCTGGGGGAAAAGCCCTCTTTCTCACTGTGTGGCTAAATGGCGCGGCAATTAGAGGGAAATAAGAAAATTGTTGTTTTGCTGATTTAATGAACATTTTAAGCCTGTTTTAAAAATTCAAATATTTAAAACTATCTGTTGTTTATAAATGTGGTTGGTGCTTTGGTTATTATCCACGGGGTCTTAATTAAAGCTTGATTAAAATTCCCTGCTTTTTCAAAACAGGAATGGGCAACGTCCTACCTTGCTATTTTGTCTTTTTTTTTTTTTTAATTCTCATTTTAGTGTGGCAAGAGAGTTCCAGCCCAGGGAGACGAGACTTGTGTGGAAGGGGAGCTACCTGCTGGGATACCTCCCCCTTTCTTGCTTGTTTCAGAATCTGTGCAGGAGTGAAACTAACTTCAGAATGCGTTTTGTTTTTCYTGCTGCAGAACCAATAATAATGGAAGGATCCCCCGAATTTAAGATTCTGGAGGATAAATGGACTGCAATTTCTGTAGACAATAAAAGGTGCCCGATTTTATTKTTTGGTATTTTCTAAGCCATGGAACTCATCACTGACAGACAAAAAAAACCCAAACAGATGAGTTTTCAGCCATGATGGATGTGTTTGCCCCCTAATAACTGCTAAATGTGAATTTCAGATCGGCACAATTTGARCATACCATTGTGATTACCTCAGAGGGAGCAGAAATCCTTACTAAACTGGTGGAAGAAGGCTAAAGACGGAGCAAGGAGTGGAGGGACTTGCTACACTTCTGGATTTCAAGTTTCACTCAAGACAGAGAAGAGGTTTCTGAGATTTCTGTGGGAAGTGGGTGCTGTGTAATTTGCTCCAGGAGACAGAAAAAGCATCTTTAGGGGTTTGCTCTGGTCATAGTTCTCTTTGTGTGTTATCTGGTGAGTATTTAATAAAAGTCCTTAGCTTTTTTTGTGACTCTTGAARCAGCCATGCACAGTCTGCAAGTGGCAAAGGATGTGGGTCATTTGGGGTTAGGGGCAGAAAGCGGCTCCCCTCTCTTTCAAATCCTATGTGGGACAAACAGATGTTAGATGGTACGATCTTTCAGCAGCTGAGAGGACGGAGATAGTATTTTCTTTTTGTAGCTGAGGTATGGAGTCAGTTTGTCTTTATTGCGATTAGCACAGTGCTGCTTCTGAGGTTGTAACTTCTACTAGGATAGAAAAAAGTTTCCTGAGTGTCAGGCAGAGGCAGCAGCGTCTTCCCAGCCTCACTCCCAGCAGCAATCCCCCCCTTCTTGCCTTTTTTACACAGCACAAAAAGTGATTAAAAATGAGATGCAAAGCATGCCTCTCTGGGGATCAATAATTGCCCTGCTTGAAGAATTAGCCAGTTTGGGGTAATCACTGCTCTGTGGTGCCCATGTWAGCTAAGGCAGAGGCACTCTGCAGTTCACACATTTTGTGGAGGCAGAGGAGTTTGCAGTCCAGGGGATGAGCCCCAGCTCTGACACCGAGTTTGGAACCCATGGACCTCATGAGCTGCAGGTCTCACTTGGCCCTGTGCTCTCTGCAGTCCTGTCTTGGGCCTGCCAGGGGTGCAGGGTTTGATTTGCAGTGTAGCCAGTTGCTGACCACCCCGACCAGACCTGTCAGGCCAAACATGTCTGGCATTGGTATTTGGAGTCTACCAGGGCAGGATCTGGTTCTGTGAAACATGGGGTAGCCTTGGAAATCATTAAAGGACTTTCCGAAGTTCTCCAGACCCACGGCAATAGCAGTGTGGTTTGTCACAAATAACTTGCCCCTCATTGCAGGCAGATGTGGTCCCGTGCTGAGGGCTGGCCAGTTGTAYATTCAGGCAACCAGAGTGGCTCAGCACTGGCTCCCTCAGTGGTCCTGGACAGAAGTAAGCTGTTTTCTTACAGCTTTACTCTGCTGTTTGCTTTTACTCAAGTACACTGAGCTCTCAACTCTAATAGTTTCTAACAGCATCTTTTCAAAAAACAGAGACCCCCCCTCCCCGAACACGGCTAACGCCGCGGGGCAGCCACTCAGCCTCATCCTCCCTGAGAGGAGCTTGGATGGAAGGCCATAAACCCTGCAAAACAAACGATGCAGCCAAGTTTACAGATACTCAAGATTAAACGGTGCAAAGGACCGTCGGCATTGCCTGGAGGARCATGTATTTTGTTCCCTTACATTCCATCGCCCAGCCGCACTGCCCCTTCCAAGGGGCACTGTGGACAGCAGGGTGTCCCCGCGCCCYAGGGCCACACCAGAGGCGCCTCCCGTGGATTTTGGCCATGCCGGGAGCCCCTGGATAGTACCACAGGTGCCAAGCTTCTCACCATTGTCTGCCACTCTGCCTCCTGTCCCGCGCTTACCGCGCCTTGGGATGAGGCAGGAGTGGGGCAGCCGGGAGCAGAGAGCTCCCCTCAGCCCGTCATAGGGGGACTGCCGGCAGCTCCTGCTAATCGCTGCGCTTTGAAGTCCCGCCGGTAACTCTGGCGGGACTGCGAGTTTTACCGGCCGCTGCCGAGAGCTGGCGGCCAGGCGGAGGCATGGATAGCGCACTTTTGTGATCCTAATGACGAACGAGACTGAAGAGATGTTTCGGCTGTTCGGGGACAGCCGGCGTTTCGCACAAGTCCATCACGCAGGCGGTCTTGCCGGGCCGGCGCGATTGGAGCCCCGACATGGCAATCGCTGCCGCGGGGTCAGCATGTCCCGTGGCCGCGCTGACCAGGACCAGTAATGTACGGAGGGGCGGCGGTCCCGCTCCGGAGGACGGGTGCGAGCAAGTCTCACCAAGCGGTCCGCATGGTTTTGGCGTGTGGTTCGCCCCGGGACTGGCTGTGCCCGACCGACCGGAGGAGACGACSGCAGCTCCGGCGGACGCAGAGGGGMCTGTCCTYCCTGCAGYTGTCAGGCTGAGGTCGACGAAGGTGCCGGAGCTGCCGGGGCGCCCTGTTCCCTCGCCGGTCAAGCTCGCTGACCCTCCTCGGGTGGTCACTTATACAGCCAGGAGGGCAGAGCTGGCTGCCGAGGGAGACCGTGTGCGTGCGACACACCGCYGCTGCCTCTTCCGCGCCAAGGCTCGGAGAGTTCGTGAGAATTAACTTTGCGCATCGCGAGCAAAGCAAAAAAGAACCCAAAACACTGAGAAGGAAAAAAAAAAAAAAGGGGGGGGAAGGAAGTAAAAGACGCGATAGGAAATGGGCAATTAAAACCGACCGAGCCACTAATAAAAGAAAAAAATAAATAAATCAGGAGCAGAGGGACTCGGTTGTGCCAGCTTTGCACAGTCAGGGGCCGTCTGCTTCAAGGGCCGTCGCTGCCCAAAGGAGTCTGAACACCGGGCGGACTCTACTGGGGGTGCCCCAGCCCCGCTGCCGGCGCTTATACCTCTAACGACATCAACGCTATGATTTGTTTTGAATGTTCAGCTTTATTGGTGTTCTCCCTTTGCCAAAATGTGCTTGATTACATAGATGTAGTGCCGTGATAACTGCGCACCCTAGACAGCCTAGGTGTAACCGGGAAAGTTCAGCCCAGGCCAGATCAAATCCCAGCCTGTTTAATGCTGGAAGGCTGCATGTTGCTATTAGTGTTAAATATATGGCTAATTATGCGTATGAAAATTAAACATCAGTGTTATGCTAATGGGGCCGCCTTCAGCTGTGGATCAGAGCACTTGAGACTAGCATTTAATCAAATGAATCAGTAACTAATACATCTGCACGTGTGAACTTTCACAAGATCATTTTCCTGTTACAGTCACACCGCAAAATTATGAAAGAAATAATTATCAACACTTTCTAATTATCTAGCAAAGTAATTTGGGATTCATCGTGGGCTTTCTGGGGAGGATCTCCTAAGTCCCACCTCATTTACCGCTCACGCACGCGGAAGTTTTCATTTTAAGCTCAAATGCGCAGTTGGGCCCTTTCAGGGCGATTTTGTTTGGTTGGGTTACCTCTTTCCCTTGAAAATAATAACGGCARTAGCCGGCCAGCGCGATATAGAGGTGCGGGTGGCGCTGGGACCCGCGGGCCGGAGCCGAGAGACCCTGCGCGCCCGCGGAGAGTGCGCGGCCGGGCAGGCGGGAGCCGCTCGCTTTGTCCGCGGGTCCCGCCGCCGTCTGCCGGAGCGGGGCGGGCAGCTGCGAGAACCCTTACAGCCCGCCGAGGCCGGCGGAGCGCGGCTGCCGTCCCCTCCGCGCCGCCCGCGCGGCGAGGGGCGGAGAAGGGCGGACGGGGTTGTGCTGCCTTCCGCCGACCTCCGGATCGGTGCCTTCGGTCGCCGGCGGCGGGAGTGGGCGGCCCGCGATGGGAGCGGGTTCCCGAGCGGCTCCTTGCCGGGGCCGGCCGGGAGCGGGGCGGGCGGGCGTGCGGTCACCGCCGGCGCTCGGGCAGGCGCGGCGCTGCCAGCCCGGCTCTCCGCGCTCACCGGGGTCCGGGCGAGCCCCGAGCGCCTCGGACCAATCCAAAGCGATTATGCAAGACRACGGACCAATCAGCTCCGTCGTCTCATGAATATTCATAGACTTGGCTGAGTCAAAGCTTTTAGGCGAGTTTGTGTAGATCTACAGCATCATGCTTAGACTTTTCAAAGAGACAAACTCCATTTTCTTATGAATGGAAAGTGAAAAACCCTGTTTCGCTTAAATTGGGTTCTTTCCTGTCCTGAGAAACACAACAGACCCCAAAAAGGCAAGCTGAAGAGAGAGCACACACACAGACCCAGCGACAAGAAATGACCATGACTACCATGCCAGAGAGTCTAAATAGCCCYGTCTCAGGGAAGGCCGTCTTTATGGAGTTTGGGCCGCCCAGCCAGCAAATGTCTCCTTCTCCCATGTCCCACGGACACTATTCCATGCACTGTTTACACTCCGCGGGCCATTCTCAGCCTGACAGCTCGTACAGCACAGCTTCGTCCTTCTCCCGACCGCTGGGCTACCCCTATGTGAACTCGGTCAGCAGCCACTCGACCAACCCCTACATCAGTTCAGTGCAGTCCTACCCCAACAGCTCCAGCCTGACTCAGACCCGGTTAGAGGAGACAGGTAGGTGCACTCGGCTTTGGGGAGGGGGGGGAGGGGAGGAGGGAAGGCAAGGCGGGAGGGAGGGTGTTGTATTTAAAAAAATCTATTGGGGAAAAAAATTAAATTAAATTACAAAATATTAGTCAGGAGAGGCTGAGGATCACAGGGGACCAATACACAGAGCACACAATGCTTGGCTGGAAAAGAAACCAACCCAGATGTGCACGTATTAGTCTTCGTAATTATTTATTGCGTAGCGCTATAAACAATGTATGCAATTAAGGGTAATTAAACCTAAACTGCAGCCTGTAAAAATAGCAAACTTTCTCTGGGAAGAAGCCTGGTCTGCCATAATGGCCCGGAGCCTTTGTTAGCCTTACTCGAGCTTCACTTTTCTTCCTTCTCATTATTGTTATTGTTGATGTTGCTGCTGTTATTGTTAATGCTGCTGCTGCTATTACTGTTACTGCTATTATTGCTATTGCTGCTATTATTATTATTTATTCTGCATGTTTGTTGTTTGTAGGGGCCGAATCGGAGAAAAGCACTGTGGTAGAAGGAGGGGAAGTTCGCTTTAATGGGAAGGGGAAAAAAATCCGCAAACCCAGGACTATTTACTCCAGTTTGCAGCTACAGGCTTTGAACAGGAGGTTCCAGCAGACCCAGTACCTGGCTCTCCCCGAAAGAGCCGAACTCGCAGCGTCTCTGGGACTCACCCAGACCCAGGTATAGCTCTGTCTGAGCCGGCCCCTCTCCCGTGTCCCCTCCGTGTCCCCACCGTCGGCGTGGGAGACCACACGCGTAATGCAGACGGGTCACAACTGCCGGCAACGGAACCCGACGCGACACATGTCCCGCCGTGGAGGAGCACCCGGTGTTGTGGAAGCCCCCGCAGGACCCGCTACAGTGGGCCCAGGGGGCTCCTACCGGGGGGCTTGGGATCACAGAATAACACAAGTAGCCAAGGGGGGAATAAAGGAGAGAAGCTGGGGTGCT